TTTTTTTTTTTTTTTAAATATTGCTTTTATTAAACTTGATTACATATATTAAACTCGTTAAATATAAATGAAATGTCGAAATACAGTGTGAATTCGTGTGAAAATGGGGCTCCACCATCTTAATGCTCTTCGGATTTGGCATCCTTTTCATATTGTTTCAGTGAACTCAATTTTGTCCGTTCTTTCATCTGCATACCAAGAATGCAATTCATGAGCAAACCTAACCGTAAATTGTTCGGACATATCTTTGAATATTTCTTGAATAGTATTAGAATTGCCTATGAAACGACATTTTCAGGTCACCTGAAATATCCCATAACGTTGTTTCGCTATTACGTGGAATCCATTCTATGCAGAAACTCCTGCATCGCTCTTGCATGCTTGGTACTAGTTCATCGACCTCTTTCTTACATTTGCGAGCACGATAGATGGCAGCTATTGTCAAGAAAAGACAATGGCGTGAGTAGTAGTCGAGCATCATATTTTTAACATCAAATATTTTTTCAGTTATTTCCGGCTCAATCAAAGTATCATATTTTTGCATGCCATGCGAATTTAGGAGCATAAACCCAGGCTTGAAGGCATGACATGTAGGCAAGGTTATAATATTGGCAGCCAATTTCGGTAGATCCATATTCAGTTGACCGGGAAAACGTAAATACTTAGTTACAGCGGACACAGTAGCAGATACTAAATGATTCAGATGACGATAGCGCGGAATCGTCAGTTTTAAGGCTCTAAAGCAAACATCGTATAAAGTCTCATTATCTATGCAAAAGGCCTCGTCCGTATTTCCCGTATGTTGATTGACACTTAATGTGGCATTACGGGATTCGACGACGACGTTATCAGATGTTTTGGACGAGGGAGATTCCTCGCTAATCTTCGCTGACAGTAAAGTTCCCATACGCAAATCTACCGATTCGAATATACTAGCGTCCAAACAATACACCAGTTGCAGGTCCTAAAAAAATACCAAGATTTGACATTCATTTTAAAATTATGCAAATAGGGAGTTTAAAGACGAAAAGAATCTTTTGCAGTTTACTTGTAGGTAGTCGCAATCTTCATATGCCTTTCGTATTATATCCAGAAATGAATCAACTAATTTGCCAACTTCCTTGCCATGACACTTCGTCCAATTATTGCAGGCAACTGAATGTCCGAACACAAAGTTATCGGATTTAAACATATGCTCAGAACCCACTATGTCAGAATCCGAATCTACCAGAATTGCGCACGGCACGTATTTAACGCTCTCCAACTCATTGCAACAAAAATTAACTTGTTCCAATTGCAAATCACTCTCATTGTAGCACGTACCAATGGCACCTACGCAATGCTTATCAGATGTAACCCCAATAAATTGATCAGCCTGTATGTGCACAATTTCACTCATCTTTTATTCGTTTTAATGCGATCCCTTTACAGGCTTTTAGTAATATGCAAAAGTATATCCCAAGCACTCACGCAGATTATTCTCAATCGTAAAAATAGCCTAACGCTCTTCAATATTTAAGAATTGCTAGCACATCTAATCGGAAAGTCTTACGCAGAATGTGTAACATAGAAGCTAATTTACATTATTCAACGAAATTTTCTATGTCTGACTTTCCGAAGCAAAGCTACTGCGTTGGAAAAATATTTACATTTTTTTATAAAGTAATATTCTGTCAATATCTTCGAATAACTATTTATACCCTGCATCACTTGTGCTAGAGGGCGTATAAAGTTTATCTGCTTGAAGAATTTGACATAGTCTCAACTTTTGTTAAGCTAAGCTTGTCTCTCCCTCTGTTTGTCTGAGTAGTGTCCATTTTTGTGTTCAATCTATAGTTGACAATGTTTGAAATATTTTCATATCATTTTATTATTGATGTGCTTTGACACACGCACGCAATTGAAAATGATTCAGATCGGACCATCTTTTCGCTGACTTCCCCTAAGTTCGCTTTATATTCCGAAGTTATACGAATATGAATAATAGTGAGACGTGGCCAACTATAATGTCACTACTTGTTCGTTCTAAGTATGATTCTGCGGCGGATAGGAATTTGCAATTATTCAGAAAACTTAAACGAATTCATATTCGGCTCAGATTTTTAAAAATACATTGAACAAATTTCGAAACATTTTTTTAAACAGTAGCAGAACATTTAATCTGATGTATTGAAACTTTATTAATAAAAGATTCAACACTAAAGTTCAAGCTCGACGCTAAACGTCAATAAGTTTCAAGATAGTCCATAAAAGTGCAAAACGAGTCTGTATCGTTATATGTTTGTTTCAAATGAAAAAGAAGAGAATGAGAGTATGAAAAAGTTAGAGTATGATAAGAACCAGTTTATTTTCCTTTCCTCAGTTGCTTATTTGCCGCAGCGGGAACGTAAGAACCCAAATCCAGTTCATTCCGGATAATTAATTTTCCCAAATAATAAATTCCCTAGAGAGGGAAAAACAAAGAGCACATTCCAGGCGCATTATACAGCTGCCGCCCGAGGAAAACTAGTAGCGGAAAAGCAAGTGAACGGATTAAAAATGAAGCCATGAACTTAGGCAATAGTAATATGCTTGTAAAAATGTATATAAACAGACTATTTGCGGAAGGCAGAGTCGGTCGGTAATACCAGACTGCGTGATATGATGGAAACCTTTTGACTGGGTGAGACGCCCTTAGGTTTTTTTACTTATTATTTAGTGATAATCCCAAAGAAATTGATCTAGAGAAGTGGATATTTCAGTTTTTCAATATTTGAAAACCACACTTATATAATTTGTGTCCAATTGTGCTGTACAACATTAGAATACATTCATTTATGTAAATCTTTGGAAAATTTTTGGGCTTTTTTTCTTTTATATACTTTCTTAGCATTTTTTTTGTATGTCCTAAAATTTATTTAATACAATAGTAATTTTTAATGCAATATAAAATTTTGTTTCCCTTTCCCTTTTCCCTTTTTTATTTCTCAGTTTCATTAAGCTCTTTGTGCATTTGTAAAATGGCTTTAAATTTTCGTTAAAAACCGTTAGCTGATTTTTTCCTTTACAAGATTTACAAAAAAAAAAAGCACCGTGTGTGGAGAAGGGAGAGAGCATAGAATGGCTTTCAATAAATTGCAACGCTTCGATTCTGTTGAAGTATGCGCGAAATTGAAGTTAATATTCTCGTAGATGATGCTTCTCTCGAGCAACTATTATTAATTTTAATCATTCATGTGTTCATTATTGTTTTTCATGAACAAGCTATGTTCTGATATATTCGCAATATATTCTCAATATATTAGAAAAATTTTATGCAGAATTTTCCAAAAACTTGCTTTAAAATTCGCACGAAACATTTTTTACCACTAGACGGACTGGGCGATATTGTTATCTCGATCGCTATAATATCTTATATCGTGGGGATTCCTATTATGAATATATTGAAACAATGGATACAAAGGGGCCGTAAGGAAATGGATTTCTAAGTCACTTAACATTTCCTTCTTTCAATATTTTTTAATTCAATCTTACTTAAAAATTATGTGAGACTAGTCTGCTTACCGACTATATAAGATCGATAGATGTTATGAAAAGGACACCAAAAGACAAGCATGTCTATATTGGTGAATTGATCGATGGTAAAAACTTCAAACCAAAAAGCGACCACTTAACTTGCTTTCTGCCGGGCACTCGGCTATATTGGGCCATCATTTCGATTTACCTGATTGTAGTTCTTAATATACAAGTTCTTTTCTTGTCGCTCGCATCATTGCGCATAATCGTCTTGTATTAATTACAAATTCTTTCTATGCTCTTTTATAATAATAAACAAATTTTTTTATTAAATCAATTGAAGTAGTTTTGCTTAATTGAAATATTTAAAAAATTATTATTAAAGATAAAATTATTGCTAGCTTTAGGTACAAATGTTACCAGACAGAGAGTCAGTAGTAGGATAACGTTGCCATAGACATTTTCTCTTTTCACTTTTTTCTCTTTCTCTTTTTCCATTCATCATTATTAATCATCATAGACTAGCCGTACAAGAGTTCATTGCATTACGAATAAAATAAAACAATATATTAACAAAAAGAAGAAAAACAAATTTAAATAAACTTAAGAGTGAAAGAAAGTTCACAATATTATCGAAAAAAAAACATTGTTAGTAGTAGTGTAACTGTGAACATATATCTCTGTCTAGTAAATCACATTTAAAAAACAATCATCATTTGTGCATACGCCTAAAACGCCTTTATCATTATTGCCTTGAGAGAAATCATGTCATCTGGCGATTTTGGAAATCCTTTGCGTAAATTTAAATTAGTTTTTTTAGGCGAGCAAAGTGTTGGGAAAACATCGCTTATTACTCGCTTTATGTACGATAGCTTTGATAATACCTATCAGGCGACTATAGGTATTGATTTTCTATCTAAAACGATGTATCTGGAAGATCGTACAGTACGTCTGCAATTATGGGATACGGCCGGTCAAGAACGTTTTCGTTCACTTATACCATCTTATATACGTGACTCAACGGTTGCCGTAGTTGTTTATGATATAACTAATGTTAATTCGTTCCTGCAAACCTCAAGGTGGATTGATGATGTGCGTACGGAACGCGGTAGTGATGTCATTATTATGTTGGTCGGTAATAAAACAGATTTGGCTGACAAACGTTTAGTATCAACTGAAGAAGGTGAACGTAAAGCGAAAGAATTGAATGTTATGTTTATTGAAACTAGCGCCAAGTCGGGTTACAATGTTAAGCAACTATTTCGTCGCGTTGCTTCAGCACTGCCTGGCATGGATTCATTTACAGAAAATAAGCCCGCCGAGGACATACAAGATATACAATTGGGTGCTCAAAATGAAACTAAAGATCCTGAGGGTGGTTGTGCCTGTTAAATATACGCAAAAAACGTAAACGTATTTACGCACAAATACACACATAAAACATACACGCAACACGCGCATACACACGCCAGACGCTAGGAATTAAAGGCATTAATTAGCAATACTGTGATGATGATTACGTACATTAGCGGCTATCTATACATTCGAAGCTAATAATGACATATAAATTACGTTTGCAATTAATTCTGTTTTGCTAAAAGATATTACTATAAGAAAGTCGGTGCTAAAGCAATAACGTACCCGCCTCGCATATCCTCATCATTTAAAGTTAATTGAAACGCTGCTAAATATTGAAATTTTTTTTTTTTTTTTTTTTTTTTGTGGGAGGGGAAGTCCCGGGTATAATTATGTAGTTACAACCTTTCAATTCAAAAAAAAATTAGAATTTTTACAATTGCAGGACTAAGGCCTTGCATTGAGGAGGACCCACTAAACGCATACCTTTTCGATCAGTATTTATTCATAAAAAATATATAAACAAACCACGAAAAGTTGGCCAAGCTGCCTGCCAAGCGAACGTCGTTCATTTTTGTCGATATAATTGAATTTCATGTACGAATCCTTCTTGCTCACTTCACCAAATGCAGGTCCCTTCTTATTGTGACACTCAATCAGGATCTAGAAAGAAAGTTTACAGACATGCGCCTTCAAGTTTTCACGAAAAATGAATGTCGTGACAACGAAAATGGCGAGTCGCGCGCTTTCCAATTATTTTCATCACTGCAATTATTCTATGTCTTTTGATATTGGAACAAATATGTTATCCAGAGATTTAGAGATTTTCATTACTTGTTCGCATTTCGGGATAATTATAATCATCCACGTAGTTAGGTACCGTATTTAGGTAATTTGTAAAAGTCTTTTTCAAGCAGAAACTGATTCATGGTTGAAGGAGAAGAAAACTAAAAAAAGTGGTCACTCATAGCATTACTGGTAGATATCGATCTAAACATCTCTGTAGATCTAAACTTTAATTGATTATAAAGAGTAATCACGGGCTTCGATTTTCATTACCAGAGCTGTACACTCAAGATAATGTGGTTGTTTAATTTTTTTTTTACTACCAAAGACTGATTATAGTTTAACTATCTCATTGACCTAGGTATCGGTAAAAAATTCTTGGTTCTTGATTCAGCTCGGCCGTCTGCTTATTGAAGTTTGCCAGAAATATAGAAAAACCAGATCTAGTAAACCCAACCTGTTTACCACCGAAAGTTAAATTATATTAATGTCTCTTCAACATATGAACTCCATAAAGTATATATATATTGAAATTCATTGTGACGTTTTCGGAAAATATCTACGCAATAAGACTTGACATTTGATGTGGAACGAGAGTGTATATCATTGAACTTATCAAAAAAATGTTAAATAATATATTTTTATGGTAATTGACACAAAATCCTAGAACTTTATTCGAAAGGCCGGCCAAAACAAAGGCTGGACGATTTATATTAATCATCATGAAGTTGACTTTTCGTATTGAAATCTTTGATTTCCACTGATCATTCTTACTTTAGAGAGTAATGTACTTTACATTGTATGTATGTCGATGTTTATATCCTACAGGTCCACCTTTTGTTATACCGACCGATTCAAGAATCATTTTCTGAATCGATTTAAGCTTGTCTGTCCGTCCGCCAATTGGCTATTTCCGACAATTTTGAGCAAATTTAGTAGACTGGTAGATGTGTTTTGGCTCAAAGATGAAAGCTATTGAAAGCGATTTGGATCGGACTACTTTTCCGAGCATGCCGCATAAAAAATAGCGTAATTTGAGAGTTTTGCCTCAAAAATCGCTTATCTCCACATTCGTGAAAACGACGTAAAAGATGACGACGTGAAAACTTCCTTTCTTCCCTTCCCATTAAATCGTTCCCACAGCAAGTGAATCTTCCGAATGATAAAAAAACTCAATTATCACTACTGCTTGAGGAAAATTCGTTCATAATAATAATTTATCATAAATATTAACCTTACCTTACCTTTGCGTCACGTCGGTCAATTTTTTAGGTCCCGACCCATAACAAAAAAGGAAGCCTGTAAATGCTGAAAAAATCTAATTTTTATTATTTTAAGATTCTGAGAAAGTCAATCATATAGGGAATAAGCATCACATAGATCTTTAGATCTTTAGACAGCGCCATATATAAGGGCACTCATGGAAGCAAACAGACCCTTCTAGGGCGCCAAGGCTTAATTCGTGGTTTGTTATGACGGAAGCAACTGTAAAATCTTTGACATGTAAATTGGACCACTCCACGTTAGACTTTTGAAGTATCCTTAAGTATGCGTGCTTTCATTAAAACTATACATTTACATAAAAATAATGTATAATATTCTTTTCATTATTAAGAAGCAAAGTGGTATAAGGTATCTAATGGTCGGCTTTGCCCGATTATAGCATTGTTAATTAATAAAATAAATTCTTTTAATACTTTACATATATTCCTACTTACTTCGAGCTACACCTGAACTGATTATAGGAGCAGTTGCAAGTATTAAAAAGTTTCTTATATTAAAAAAAAAAAAACAAAAAACAGGAAAAAAATTTAATTATGGCTTAGTTGGAAATACTTTCTTCATTAATATTTATCAACTAATTTTAATCTACCAAGCAAGCAATAAGCAAGCAGTCGAATGCAATTCATTTCGGTAATTTAAAATTTAATTTTTTTTTTTTGGAATTTTTTAAGAATCGTAATCGTAAATCTCGAACTAATAAATTTTGTTATTTTCCATAAGAATGATAAATCTAAGATCATATGCATCTCCCCCCTTTATATTTTTATGCATCTATGAAAACAGATTTTGATGAATTAGTGCTGAAATTTCAATTCAAACATACTTACACATGAACATCTCTTAGAATAATTTATGGCTTACAAGAACACAAGTTGGAAAATAATTAAATTCATTTTTAAATATATGCATTTAACAGAAAAAAAAAAAAAAAAAAAAAAGACAAGAAAATTAACAAACAAATAATTAAAGCAACGAGCACGTTTCCATTACGCAGTGTTTGTAAAACTAATTTAATAAAAATTCTACAAATAATATGCGTCTCGAACATTTTTATTTCTATGACGTGAAAGCTATGTGTGTAAACTGAAAACTTGATTCAGCCGATATTTGATGAAGGGATAATTTTTTTTTTTTTTTTTTTTTCCAAAAGCAATACGCACTGAAATCCGTAATTTTTTCTTTCCTTTTTTCTTAAATTATTTTTCCGCAGGGAGGAGAAGAACTTTTCTTTGTAGTCTTTATCTATTTTTAATTTCAAATATTTTTTCTTTCCCTTCAATCTTTTAGTTACCTGTTACTTTCCTACAAAAAGGAAAAATAGTAAATCTTCAAGAAGATAAATAACTAAACAAGCAAGCCTTTTCTTATAGCCTAATTCCGTATATTAAGAGATATATAGGACATGCATGCTTGGAATCTTTGCTAAAGTTGGGCATCGTTGGGCAGATATTCATTGAAGTAATTTTACCGTTCCACTTGAAATGAAAGTCGAATGAATGAAAGTCGCACCATTTTCGACAACAATACAAATCAATTCGCTTAATGAAATCAATGAATAAAAGCAGTTGCCTGACGAACGAAGAAAAGTTGCTTTGGAGCAATAACTTGGAAACCAATATTATCAGGAGATTTAAGCATAAGTTGAATTTCAAGCTATATTACTGGACTATTCGCAATATTAATGGACTAAATTAGTAGCTAACTGATGAATAAACTAAAAGAAAAGAAGAAAGAATCTTCAAAGCGAACACTAGCGGGAGATTCGCGTGTTATTATGGCATATATTTTAAATTGCAAACCGTTTAAAATTAAACCGTTTAAAAACTCTTTGCCCACACCATTCGACTGGATATTAAAAACCAAGCGGTCGAATCTTGGTCACGTTAGTCTAAAAATTATTCACATATAATGTCGTATAACGAATTTTGAACATTTGAGCATGACATTGACTCTTGAACAAAGTCTGCTTGCAAATCCGACGGTTGCCTATTCTTTCCGCAAAAATTGACCTAAACCCTGCCATATGGATAACAGTTTGGAGAAATTGATTCACACGATCGAATCATAACAGATTTCTTGAGGCATCGAAAATTAGAGTAGAGAGTAGAGGGCATCTGGATTTCTTTGAAAATCAGTCCACGTTTTATACAGAATTCATGAAAGTATTATTGAATTCGTGGCCCCTTATCCCCCTGAAAACAAGGTGAACTTGTTCGACAATTTGCTTGCCTTTGCTTTAGGATATATGTTGCAACATAAACTTGTTTGTAGTGCTGCTAACAATCAAATACACTGCTGCATATAAATTATTCTACTACCTGAAAGGAAAATTCTCTTTTTGATCATGCCGCGCCGAATGCTATTTAATATAGCTGGTCTCTGACAAAAGACGAGCAAAATCGTTGAAAAAGAATAAATTTCAATGCTTCGCACATGTCATCCATGCGCTGTGGTTACTCTGGCGGAAGCAAAGTTTGGAAATCAAAAAAAATTTCGAAAAAAAGATTTTTAATGCACTCACTTATCACGTGTACTATGTTCTCTATAAAATCTTGAGAAATTCCTCAGTAATTATTCTAAAGTACAAGGCCTCACCCATGACACTATTTTAACAGTTAATCAATCAAATTAAATTCATGTAAAAATAGTTTATTTGATTCACGTCTGACGTGAACGGCGATACAATCAATATAAGAAAATACAAAATTACTAACATTTTGAATGTGGAGAGATCCACACCCCTGTCCCATGTCAATAATTGGGTACTTCATTGACAATGAGAATAATTTTGTTTCTCTGTTAAATTTCGATTGTTAAGATTATTGATTTCGGTTTCATAACAAGATTTGGATTCAAAGTTCCGAAAGCTGATTGGAGTGATTATTTATTCGCGAGCCTCTTCATCCTCATCGAATTCGCCCTCTTCATCGGCAGTGGCATCTTGATATTGCTGATATTCCGAGACCAAATCGTTCATACTGCTTTCAGATTCTGTGAATTCCATTTCATCCATGCCCTCGCCAGTATACCAATGTAAGAAAGCTTTTCGTCTAAACATGGCTGTAAATTGTTCAGAGACACGTTTAAACAATTCTTGTATAGCAGTAGAATTGCCTATAAATGTTGCAGACATTTTCAGACCACGTGGGGGTATGTCACATACGGCAGTTTTACAGTTGCTAGGGATCCACTCTACGAAGAAACTGCTGTTTTTATTTTGTATGTTTAACATTTGCTCGTCCACCTCTTTCATAGACATACGACCACGAAATATAGCTGCCACGGTAAGATAGCGGCCATGGCGTGGATCACAAGCCGCCATCATGTTTTTGGCATCAAACATTTGTTGTGTAAGTTCGGGTACAGTCAGAGCACGGTATTGCTGGGAACCTCGTGAGGTAAGCGGGGCGAAACCAGGTATAAAGAAATGCAACCGTGGAAATGGGACCATATTAACGGCCAATTTACGTAAATCCGCGTTTAGCTGACCGGGAAAGCGCAAACACGTAGTTACACCAGACATGGTGGCCGATACTAAATGGTTTAAATCACCGTAAGTGGGTGTAGTTAGTTTTAAGGTTCTAAAGCAAATATCATATAGAGCCTCGTTGTCAATACAATAAGTCTCATCCGTGTTTTCCATGAGTTGATAGACACTCAGCGTTGCATTGTAGGGTTCAACGACTGTATCAGATACTTTGGGTGAAGGTACTACGGAGAAAGAGCTAATGATACGATCTGGATATTCTTCACGGATTTTTGATAATAGCAACGTCCCCATACCAGAGCCCGTACCACCACCTAAAGAATGTGTTATTTGGAAGCCCTGAAAAGAAATTGCCCAAGTCCACAATAGAAACATGTTCTCTCACGACTTTTTCATAATTAAGTATATGCAGTAATAAAGTAACGGCTACCTGTAAACAATCGCATCCTTCCGCTTCTTTGCGAACCACGTCAAGAACTGAGTCTACTAATTCTGCTCCCTCTGTATAATGTCCTTTCGCCCAATTATTACCTGCGCCCGATTGCCCGAATACAAAATTATCTGGTCTGAAAACTTGGCCAAAAGAGCTTGAACGCACCGAATCCATTGTGCCTGGCTCTAGATCTACAAGTACAGCTCGAGGTACGTATTTACCGCCTGTGGCTTCATTGTAGTAAACATTAATGCGTTCCAATTGCAAATCACTATCGCCATAGTATGATCCAGTGCAATCTATGCAATGCTCATCAGATATAACCTCCCAAAATTTGCCGCCAATTTGATTGCCGCATTGACCAGCTTGCAAATGTACAATTTCACGCATTTTCTGTTCCCCCTACTTCTCGCCTTTCAATTGCAAACGTAGTTAAGATTTTTAAGATTTAGGATGCACCCGATACGATCCAAGTATTTAAGTCACTCTTTTAGGATTTATGCTTTTTTCCCGTTTTACTTTTAGCATCCAATTCGTTTAATATATGCGAAATTTTTTTTTTAATAAAAACATCCAGAAGTTAAATTATTAAAAAAAAAAAATAATAAAAAGCGCCCTGCTTGCCTGAAGGTTGAAAAATCTTTGAAATGAATATAAAAAATTTTCTATACATTTTTTATCATTGAATTTTTTACATAAAGTTGCTGCGATACTTAAAAGGAAAACTATAGAAGTGTTTTTATTACGCATAGTGCGATTTCGTTTAACAAGCACATATACATAAATACATATTTACATGGATCTAAATAGATATGTATATATGCATACACCTTCTCCTTTTTTTAACATGATCAGTCACTCCGAGAATGTCGCCTACGATAGTTAGAAAAAAGTAAAGAAAGGGAAAGAGAAAGACACAGACACTAACCGCAACCTTGTGTGCGTGTGTGTGCTGACTCGGTGGGTGTTCTGGCTTTACCCACTAAGTACTCATTCCACTAAAGAAAACTCTACCGTACCAAACTTTGAATATTGACGTAGTAATCGCGATTTGTATCCACTCGTCCACTCATATACGGACATATACATTGAATAGATTCTTCATCAGCGTAATACTTTTCCAATAACTCAAAACTTTCGTCGGCTTTGCAACTTTATGAGGTGCTTTCATGAACCCACTCTATTTATTTAAACTTTCAAGTAATTAGACGGAAAGTGGTCAAAGGGAAATTACAAGTAATCAATAAATTCGTGGCATCGTCAACACTCGCGCATGCAACTCGCTTATATTTGCCCCAAGTGGATCGGAAGAATATTTGCAGCGATCAAAATTACCCAAGTTGTTGCTTAATTTTTGAAAGGCTAAACCTCAGCGCAGTTTGCCACTAATGCCGTTGGACAAGATGGGAAACGTAGCGTACGAATTGTAGTCTTGTAGCTCGGAGAACCAAATTTTTGCATATCATTTCATGTTTCCTTCCGCCTGATTCTTCTTTGCAAACTATAGTCTTAACTTACACCAATATAATCACGATTGAAACTGCGCTCGGCTCATCCAAAATTCCTAAAAACTAAAAGACATAAAAGTACAGAGCAATCTGGGAAATCTAATCTTTGGAAATTCAAGCAAACATTGACTTACTTATAGACATTATAATCAAGGAAAGCAGCTTTTGTTGTGTGCTCTCCTTCATATAGGTGCTACGTAGATTCAATTGAATCTGTTCAAAAGCAATTCTTGCTGTTTGCCCTTAGAAATTTGGGTTGGGATCCAATTGCCTCTCTTCCTCCGTATGAAAATAGGTTGCTTCTGCTGCCCTTACCGTCTCTTGAGAAACGTAGGTTTGTTCTTGGCGTTTCCTTTGTAATCAGAGTAAAAAATGGTACTATTGACTCGCCTTCATTACTGGGTGAAATAAGCTTTAATGTCCCTAACCGCTACTCTAGGCACTTTACCTTGGTTAAGCTTAGTCAGTGTAAATTTAATTATGAGCTGTTTAATCCGCTCAGAGTCGTTTGCAACAATCTAAATGACGTCTACCACTTATTCGCGTTATCGGACTCTTTAAAGTCCATGAAAGCAACATTGCTTAATACGCGTGATTTACCTATGTCGTACTTAAACTAGCTTTTAAATTTAAAAAGTCGTTACGTTTCGAAAATGAATTATTGACAATTTATTATCGGTTGCCAGGCTTATGCATGTTTGCGATGGCTTAGGGGTTCATTTGCAATTTGATCCTGTACCGATTGTAAGTGTGGCTCTATGCTGATAGTGTTCATGCTTTTTTTTCCTTTTTTTTTTTCTTCTTATTTGTTTTATTGTACTTATACTAAATTTTATTATTAATTAATATAAGTTTTGCATTATGAGCCACTTGAACTCGACTGTTATTTGTTTAGTTGAGTTTCTAGTATAAGTAAAATTAAAAATAAATAAATAAATAAATAAATAAATACCCTATATATAGGACTTGAATGCAAATCTCGGTTTATCTTGGCCATACAAGACCAAATATTATTGCAATGTAAAGCCATGTAGAAACCGTATCATGAGAATCTTTTTATATATGGGTAGTGGTCAGGAAAGTAGATCTATTTTATGCAAAAACTTATATAGTAAATTTTTTATTTTTTTTATTTTTAATCACTCGAGAGATGTCTATTCGTATATTACGATGTAAGAAGTAAGAAAAGAGAAAGCGATAAGAAGGTGACTAATTTAGTGCTTGTATACCCATTCGGGAAGTTTTATGCCTGCAATTACGAACGAAGTAAACTCCACAGCACTTGAGATTTGAATCTGCGAATATTAACAACAGCAAACTGTATGTGTGTAAGAATTATTATGCGTATTAGGTGAGAAGATTTAAAAACCAGTCTCATACGATCGAAATTTCTTCCATTCGAATATATTAAAAAGAAGAAACCTCTCTTCCCTGACCTATCGCACACCAAATAAATATGATTGCAACCAATGCTGCTTCATGGGATCCACTTAAGTCACATGATCATACAATTTCACATAATGTACCAAATATGAAAGGGTTTCATTTGATTCTAGGAGAAACTCTTTCCAAATATTATTTACTTACGTGGCGAAAAGTTTGCTCTCTCTACAAGAATTTTTTGTTGCAGAGAAAATTTGCTTCAAAAAAAAAATTGCATAAGAAGAACAGAAACTTGTCAATAATTTGATAATTTGTATTAATGTTAGTATATAAGGAGGATTAAAAACACACCCATAAAAAAGTAGATTTTTTCAATATTGAACAATAATTGATGCAATAAGAATATATATGATGCATTACGGAGTACTACAGGGACTATCGGAAGTATATTTTAAGACTTTATAGCTAAAACATTCAGAAGACTTGGATACATCTTTCATACAACAATTCAAACAGCAACGAGACGACGATAAATGACTACAGTCACAATCTGCCAGCTCGGGCAATGATTGATATCAAACTGAAGCCCTCTTTAAACTTAGATTGCTAGCAATAATATCGGTAGGACGAAAATCGGGATCAGCAAATGGTTCATGATTCATGCAACGCGTACCGCCCAAGCATGTGCACGAACAAATTGATGCAGTCTCATCGAATTCATTTGTATAATTCGAATTGCTTAATAATTTACCCTGCATATTATATGAAGTTGAATGTTCGGTATCGAAAGTAACGGGTTGATTGGCCGCAGCCAAATTTTGAGCATCCTGTTCATCGCGTTTAGCATCCTCTGCTTGCCTAAAAAATCGTCGATAAAACCAATGAAATTAATTCTCAATTCGCAATTTGTAATCGATTCAATGATTACTTACATTGTCATAAAACGTAAAACCAATAAATTAATACTGGCTGCCACTACTGCCAAACCAAATAATATAAATACTAAACTTAATGCCACATAGCCTGGTTTATTGGTTAATGCCTGATCGTTTTGTAAAGCGACATAGTCACCAAAACCGATAGTGGTTAGGGTAACAAAACAATAATAAAAGCTATCAAAATAACTCCAACCTTCGTAGCGTGAAAATACTGCCGCGCCAGTTGTTATAATAATCGAAGATAGCATTCCTGTGGCCAGCATTAAATTCATTTCGGTGGCCTCGGTATGTGCGCATTGCAAATAACGTTTCGCTCTTCGTATAATAACGGAAGCAAATTTATTTAAACGTTCACCAATCGATTGAAACATCACTAAACCAAGGGGTATGCCTACCTAAAAATAAAAGCAAAATAGTATTAAATACAAATAATTTTATTTATTTTACAAATACATCTCGACTTCTTACGATTTTTGAAAAATTCAATTCATTTGGCAAAAGAAATGATTGCGACTTTAATTTGAGGTTATAGATATATATATGGACAAGAGATTGCGGTTAATGGACCTACTTTGACTTTTATTTCTTATTACTGATTACCTATTTTATAATAATGTGCACCCTATTCTCTATGTATATAATAATATCGCTACATTATAATAGAGCAGATTTTCTTCTACAGATATGCATGGCTTAAGTATGTGTTCGGTTACGTTGGAAATTTTTCTTTGAAGGCAAATGAAATGCGACTGGTCTCGAAGTAAACGGAAGATGCTATCAATGTGATGTTCAAGCAAGGTTCTGGGATCACCCATCGACAAAAGATTTGAATAAAATAATGTGAAGATGTTGGCAGATGGTTTTGAATCTCTCTCTTGTATTGAAATAAAAGCAAGAGTCAATAAATTCTTACTATAGGAAATATATGTCCGCTTATAAATATATGTTTAACTACGCACGTAGATGCTGCCTAACTCTTATGCGATGCTGCCAAACTGTTATTATTATTATTAATTTTGCCAGAGAAATAAATTCTAAGACTAAACTCTTAAAAGCACTAGGATCTAAGGCTATCGGCTTTTATTAAAAACTATACCGCACTTGAGATTCGAACCGACGACCGTTGACTTGCTAGTCGAGATTCCTCGCCTTCGGCTACTCAGGCGGATTGCTAAACTGTTAAAAATACGTTACGCCGAAGAAAACTAATATGATTATTAATGGAGAGAAATTATTGGATCACTTAATTGACAACGAAACCAGAGACTCGAAGTTATTCTGATACTCCAAACGCAACTTTGTCAAATTAATATTTTTAACAGGGGCGGGGCTAATCTCCATCCAAAGCAAAGTTTCTTATGATAGCTCATTATAATTTATTAAATTATTTAAATATAAAGAGCACAAACCTCACAGTCGGGCATCACCTTCCCAATTAGAATTATATAGCTGCCTTCACGGTAAGATATATCGCATTCCTATATAAAAACTAGTTTTTCATTGAGAATGGCACTAACAATAAAGCTGTGTAATCTCAAACACATCACCATGCATTTATACATCATAACATAATCACAACTTTCTACTCAGTGTTGCTATAGGTTTAACGTCGTTATCATATAAGAAGTTGTAAGAACGTTTACATGGGAAGGGATTGAAAATGTGACACTATCCGATCTAAATTTGTTTTATGCATATAGAATGCCAAAATGCTATTTTTTGTTAATTTTTCTCCCGAAATATTATGATTGAAAAATGTTTGAAAGCAGACTGATTCTAAAAATGATTCAATTCAGATTCAAGCTCATGGCATTTTTGTCCAAAACATGGCAGTGTTATAAATTGCATCGAACATAAGTGTACCAACAATAAACGTCAACATGAACAATTGCAAATCGTTTCACAAAACTGTAAGATGGATCGGATCCATCTACTTAAAGGGACTCCTTAAAGGAACTCCTTATGAATGAACATAAATATAAACATGAGCCAGTGGTCCCATAAATTATTTCTTCGCTTTAAAAATATATATGCATATATATAATGAAATCTATCAATAGACGTGTAAATATATTTTCACCGAAAATCGCTTCTTATCTGGATGATAAGATAATGATAAGATAAATAATTTTATTTATTTTGTAATCTATTAAAGAGAGAATTTTCAAATTATTCTTACCATTGCGTAGGCCATACAGAACGCTTTGCCGCCAATAGTAACCGGTGTCGAATGACCGTAACCGATCATCGCTAATACGACGGTGGCAAAATAAAATGCACCTGCAAATTTCCATTGTGGACCGGCTTTGTGTGGCTTATTTTCAATTATAACAATTTCCATCATACGAAAATCTTCACTCGAAACATTATATTTTTTAATAAAATTTTTTTTTAATGTTTGCAAAAAATCATAACGTTTCGCTTCAAATTCAGATTCTAAACTATCAAAAACTGCAGCACCAATCAGAAGATACGTAAATGTGCAGACCACCAATGATAGCGTCCTAACATTTTGACGCTTCATGCTGCACTGTGTCAAAAACTCGATAATATAATTGAAATACGAATCAATAAGCATTCAATAGCTTTTCTCGTTAAACCGATGAATTACATGCAAAAATTTTTCCACAAGAAAAATTGAAAAGAAAATTAATTAATGCAAAATGAAATAATTTACACGAAACTGTTTTCGTTTTGTTTTCAAATTTGTTTAAAATGGAAGATCTTTTGTTCATAACAAAAATCAATACATTCAGGATAATAACAATAATAAAGTTTACATCATGCGCAAAATCCTTTTATGTCAATTATGGCAATTGTAAATCTTCGTGAAGTGGACAGCATTTATCCAATGTTCACAAAAATTCTTAATGATTATATTTTATATATTACAAGTCCCATCTTCCCAGCTTAGAAAGAAGATAGACTTTAAGAATTAAAAGGTAAAATAATTCACCAGCTTCTTAACTTAAACAAATCTATTCTCGGCGAAAATGAGAAAAAGGTTGTTATTGCAAAGAAAATTAAAAGGTCACCATCCGCCATTAAATACGGTTTGTATTTTGCAAAGGAATTGAACATTCCCGTAAAAATTTCCGGCAATTTTGATCTTAAGTCTCTGTGGTTTTCGATTGGCTACTCTTGTGCCATGTTGCGCGGTCAACGTACAAAAAGAAGAATACTCCAAATTACGTCTTCGGGAGTCTAGTTGAAGAAGAAACTAAAAGAAACGGGAAAGTGTTGGTTGGTATCTCCTATACACAGACACCTCTAAATCTGCCGATCTTCCACCTGCTTATGCCGTGGTAAATGCTTGAAGACATGCTCTAGTTAACTCAACAATACTTCACGAAAGTGCTTCAACTTTCACAACCGACGGCTATGATCTTCGCTGACTATCATTTTTCATTTGAAACAGCATTTATTGAGAAAAGTTGCTACAATATATTATATATTAATCAAAATGTTTTCCATCATTTTTCACAATTTTTTCCCATCTTTCTGGCAACATGGCAATACCGAATCGACCCATTTTTAAACTTCTTCAGCATTTCCAAACCGCGTGCCAGCCAAACAAAACTATTCAGGAGACGTACAAGGGGAGATGAATTTATATTTTT